CCCCAGCCGGCCCGCCCGGCCCCCGCGCCGGAAGTGACGTTCGGGGCGCGCGAAGGCGGCGCCCACCCGGGATTGCGCATGTGTGAGCGTTGCCGGGTTGCCTTGCCTGTCCCCACCTGCCGTCCCAGGGTTTATGTCCCGGTGTGATGGTGGGGAAACAGACCTGATGGAGGGAAGCAGCTGCTTTCCGAGGACGCACTGACGCCTGCCTAGTGTTCTACATCATTTTCTCTTTAAGTCGTCTTGGTTTTGCAAATCCCCTCATGCAGGACAGGGAAGTGGCCGTCAGGGCTGTAGGTGCTGTAACCGGATTCAGACCCAGACCTCAGGATTAGCATTCCAGAACTCCTTGGTCCTCAGCTGACATCTGGACTGGCTGCCCAATGTCAGTTTGCCATCAGCTGAGCCATTTTGACCAAGTGCCCTAGCCTCCTGGCCTCAGTTGTTCGTGAATAACATGATTCTTGCCTTGGACCCTGACTCAGTAACTACCTGTTTCCTGCTTTTGGGCTCACGACGAGGTTGTCTCCAGACAGCAATAGCTTGAAAAGGGGTTTCCTAGCGCCATGCCTGGCCCATTAACTATCCTCACTACTTACATATCCTTATTTTGTGCAACTGTAATTTGGGAGCAAATCTCCGAGGTTCCTCTTTCGGGTACAATAAAGGACAATAAACCTTTACTAGAAAGAAATTCTGATGGGCCAAGAGAAGGTCAGATCCAAAGGAATGACCTTAAGTCACCTTCTCCTTTCCCTATCTATGGATAAGAGGAGTCTTAGGACTATGGGAAATGTCCAGAAGGGATGTAAGGACATATGGGCTTTGCCAGATGCCAAACTGGATGTGTGGGAGAAGTGTGAAGTGGCCTGGGAATCTTGGGTTGTGTTTATCTGTTTGTTTGTTTGTTTGTTTGTTTGTTTTTAATATAGGGTGTCATCATGTAGACCAGGCTGGCCCCCAACTCATGAGTCTTGTGCCTTTGTCTCCTGAGTGCTGGGATGGTAAATGTGGACCAGTCACCCCAGGTTACAAGTCATGAGACTTTGTGATCCTAGGTTCTCTCCAATTCCCAACTTCTAGGATGCCAAATAAAGTATAGAACACTCGGTTAAATTTGAATTTCAGATAAACAAGTCTATTTTTAAGACAAAGTGCCTTATGTAACGTTCGGAACACACACATACTTTAGAAACTGTTGTTTCTCAGAAGAAACTCAACTTTAAATAGGTGTCCTGTTGGTCGCCTTACCCCAAATCTAAGTATTAGTTTTACGTTCCTCCTATAACAAATCACAACATAGTGACTTGAAACAACACCACTGTGTTTTCTCGCCTTGCTAAATATACCAGGGAGTTGGCAAAGCTGTCTTCTCTCTGGGTTCTTCTTGTCCTTTTCAGCT